AGGGTAAGGACTCGATACGCACCACACACACACACACACTCTCTGCCGAACCTTTCCCTTTTTCCTGCCGCGTTTATTGTTGTCATTTTCAGCGGGCTCGACTTTAATGGTTGTCAGAAAACATTAAAAATTGTCACATGAATATATCGCTCCGTTACACCACGCGTAATTGAGTTCTACTCATTATGCAATATTTGCCTTATAGGAATATAAATACATACACATGTACCATTCACTTTCGGAGTGCTCTGATTTTAGTTTTTGACTTTAAAAGCATCCCAAATTGGACAGTTAAATTAAATGAACATTTGAAGTCAAATATTGAAGGTGGATTATTGTAAATGAATCGTAAAAAAAAGTTATGTAGAATATATTCAAAATAGAAAATTATTTACATATGCCACAGGTTTTCTAAAATGTTAGACAGCCTAAAATACTAATACATTTGAACGTTAAATCATAGCAGTAATAATTATTTAATTATGATCAAGTGCCTAAGGAAATTTAGGCCACTAGCAAATAAAAGCTAAAAACACTAAAATATATATAATCACTTAATGGACGCAAGTTATACAAGTATGTTGAACAACTATCGTTTAGTTGCGCTAATAATCTGCTCTAAACTTTTAAAACTGCATAATAAAATATATAATTATATGTCCAAAATCACTTAAAATTATACAATTTTAACGTTAGGAGAGATTGTTCAATACACAAACAACTAGTTACTAGTTACGCTTATAATTTGCTTTGAACTTTCAAAACTGCATAAGAAAATATAAAATGGTTTAAGACATAATATCCCGAAAAACTAATTAGGAAGGGATCATAAATGTAAACCACTTAATTAAAACACAGAAACAACGTTCAAAAAAATATCGCTTTAAAATTGTATGCAACCAAAAAAATCATAAGCAACTATATTAAAAATAAAATAAACTGAAATACATTCACTTGAGGTATTTACTTTGTCCTTTTTTTAATTTAAACAAAGTAACTACTAACAAATAACAATACAAGTACAAACTAAACTATTTTGTCTGTAATATGTAATATTTAATTCTTAATTTTATAATTTCCCAATAACTCTTTACCCTCCGCTCTTAATAGACAAGTTAATAAGTATTAACGGCTTAAGTTTGATGAACTCAACACCCCCAAAGTGTAAATATTTTGAATCAAAGCATTTAAATACCGTTTCATTGTTCCCGAAATAAGTGTAATTGAAAATCTCTTAAGCGCTTGGCAAATACAGTCGAACCAGGGGGAAATGCAGATGCACAAGGACGCAGGAAGCAGGAGGCAAGGACGAAGGACGACAAAGTGCAGGAGCTAAATGAGTTTGTCAATCAAAATGCAAATGTCACCGGGAAGTGACATAATCCCACTTGGGAGTCGGGCTAAGCCGAGCGAAACGAGCCGAAATCCCGGTGCGAGCTAAAGCATTTGACCGCACTTCGCACAGCACCACCAAAATCGAAGCACTCTACCCTATACTCTATATGGCATATGAGCAAATTCCCGAGCTCCCCGTCGGAAATGGCAACATATGACGATCTGAAGTTGACGTGATACTACGAAAAACAGGGGATTGAGGGCCAAGTGGGGGTGTTAAATTGCAGTAATCGGCTCTCGGCAACGGCGACAACGTTTATGTTTTATGTGCTCATTTATAATGCGCACTGCTCATTTGGTAATGGTTCAATAATGACTGTCAGACTACTTAAAAGGCTGCCCAGGATTGCGTGGAACCACGGACATCTGCTACCCGGCCATTTGACTTCTCAAACATGCCCAGCCCAGCCAATCCAATCCAAACCGACCGATTCCCGGTCACAATAAATCTCCGATTCTCCGCCAAACTTGAGCAATCCGCGGTGACAGCTAAGGCCTCGTGTAATTTTAGGCGCCACTCTCCAGGGGTCAGGAAAGGAGGAAAGGAGGAAAAGAGGAAAGGAGGAAAGGAGAAATAAATAATGCCGAATCGCAGGTTAGAAATGAGGGAATCTTGGCTAAGCCGAACACAGAAACAAACTCAATCCGGCCACGACTTCGATGTGACTGGGCCAGATAGACAGCCGGCGTTAGTTGGCACACTCAAAAAATTTGACGGACCAAGAAAACCAAAAAAAAAGGTCGTTATCCTCACAGTGCTCTTAACTTCATGGGGTTTCTTTAAAAAATCGTTGAACCGTTAAAATGGTTGATTTGTTAGTACATAAACCTGGATTTTTAAATAGCAGACCTTTGTATTAAAAGAATAAATATATTTAACTCCCTAAGCAAATTTGATAAAAAAGAAATGCAGTAGAAAGATGATCATCTAGAAAATTTTAACTTAATGTATCTTCAATTTTGAATAGGGCATTTTAAAAATCAGCTTATATGGACCAAAACCAAAAATAAGTATAATATTTCTTGTAATAATTTATAGATTATTCTTGATTGTGTTGAATAGGTTCTGTTAGTTATAAAAACAATTTTTTAAATTGCTTTTAACTTTACAGTATAAAAAATGTTCTAAAAAATACAGTACCAAGTTATGATTATATTTTATGTTGTTTGCCTATTTAATGAGTATCTATTTAATTAATTAATTCTATTCCAATTCTTTGAGTGCAGCCTGCCAGTTGGCAAAAAAGTCATAAAAGCTCACTCGCCATTCTCAGGCCCATTCCCATTCCCATTTCCAATCCACAGCCCAATCCATTCCCCCTGCCATTGCCATTTCCACTCCCGTTGCCATTCCCCAATTGCCAATTATGCCGCAGCAGCAGCCCATTCGATCTTATACCATCCATAGCATCCTAAAACATACCATCCAATACCCCATCCTCGAGACAAGACAAACGCTGCAAGTTGCAAGTTGCAACTATCGAGGATCGTTCGCCGTCGATCGCTGTCTGCAGCATTCGACACTGACGCCAACCGGTGTACAAAAGGTGGGGTTTCCAGGTGGGTGGGGGGCGGTAAAGGGGGAAAAGTATCTGAGGGTTACACCAGTATCCGCAGCTACAAGATGGCTGCTGCCAATCCTCGCCCGCACCAATGCCAACTCCCCCAGATCAGAAAAAGTGACTCCCGTCCTGGCCAGACGTTCTCTTGTCGTGCCGAGGTGGCATTCGCTGGGAAAACTGCCTCCAGATACAGATACTCGCACTCCATACCATACGGCATATAATTTAATTTGCGACGCTTATCAGGCGCCACTTTGCGACGCAATCGGTGACAATTGCATAATCCGGCTGCAAATGCCGAACATTGCTCTAATCGCACTGACGAGCCATTTCTCACTTACTCTGAGATTGGAATGTTTTCAGCTGTGCTGGTCGTAAAAGCACTTAGTTAATTAAAGTCCTGAAAATAACTATTTTAGCTAATGGAATTTAAATGTTAGGAGAAGTAATTATTACTATCTTCTATTTAAAAGCTATTAAATATTAGCAATGTTATTAATACTATTTTATGATACCACTTAAACCTGTTTTTGGAAGAATAACTAGTTGTTGATCTTAAATTGATTCCTATTATATTTCAAAACTGTTGTTTAAAATCTTGAATAATTTCGGTTTTATACTTTGTTACTGGAATGATTGATTCTAGGGCAAAAGTTTATTTTTATACAAAATTTAAAATAGTTTGAACTGAAAAAATACTAGTTTTTGTCAATTTCTTTAGAACAGGAGTAATGTAATGTTTTTTACCCAACAACAAACAAGTATTGATATGAATTGCTATTATTATTACCACGTAACTAGCTCTAGAATATCTAAAACATAAACTGCCAATCAAACCGTTGTTTAATCTCTAACTCCAAATAAAAGAATAAATAAGAATCATTTATTTGGGCACATTTATGGGTCGGGCACGCTTCCTTCTGCCCACGAGATACATTTATCCATATAAAAAGGAATCCAAAGAGTGCGGGCATACAAATTAGTGCGCATCTGCGCCATTCAGGATGGATTCTGATTATGGAGAATCCCCGGGGGGAACTTCTCGCAGAGTACAACACGTCTTGACATTTGCATCTTGAAATGCAAGTGAAAGATACAATCCCAATCTGTGTATCCAGATGTGCCATTGTCACTGTCATCGGCTGTGGCTTCCTTTCGGCTAGAGAACTCTCCGTGCGGATGATAAATGACGTCGATTCAACAAATTGCCACACATACAGGGCCCAAACCATTTGGCCAATTGAGAAGGAAATCAACTCCACTCTATGGCCCACATACACGAATTGCACACTTGCTGCCAAAGCTAACTCCCCGATTTCGGAGGATGGGGTTATATCCTTCCTGCTCCGCCCTCTGAATTTCCATTTGGCAATGTCTCAGGAATTATTTCCGAGCTGTTTTAAATATTTCTTTTGCATAATGAAACAGACGGCTTCAAGTGGAATTGAATTTTATGTAAATTTACTTCCACTTTGATTTACAAGTTAGCATGCCAGTGGGATTTCATAATTGATTATAAACCTTTCATATACTACTTGGTGAGGATTACAAAATAAATATTTTGAAAAAAAAAGATTGTCTAGGTGCTTAATCTTTAAATGTTTTATAAATATTTTCACATATTTTTGCAAGGCATCATACAAATTAAATTAAACAAATCTAACGATAAAAAAATTTGTTTTTCTGTATTTTATTGTCAACGAAAACATTCTTAATTCTGAATGGTTTTTGTGAAAATGTTTATTTTTATATTGAAAATAAGTATTTGTATAGTCTTTGAATAGCCTTTTTAAGACCAATCATCGAAAAAATACCAGTTTTCTTAAACTGCCTTTTCAAAATTTATGTTTTAAAATCATACATCATTTCAATCCTACAATATACTGCACCTAATCATTTATTTGTATCTAAAATTCTATTAAGTAAATAAATTTAATACAATTACGAATAAATCATGCCAATTTACGGGTTTCGTGCAAACCAGAGTTGAGCCATCCAGCGATATCAGCGAGCTTTTTTCCGCGAAGCACCAGGGATGCAACACAATCGCTGTGCTATCAGTGCCCTGGTCGAATGTTTTTGTTTGTTGTGTTTTTTTATTTGTCGCGTTAAAAAGTGTTTTAAAGTGAAGTTTTAAGTGCAATGGAGCTGCCGAAGGAGTTATCCATTGCGGAGATCCGTAATTACATGTTGGCCAACGAGTGCAAGGTGACAAATCACGCGTTGGTGAAGCACTTCAAGAAATTCCTCACGCACCCGCAGTCGCAAAGTGAGTCATTTGTTTGTTTTTTGGACCTGTTGAATCGCAGAAAAGCCATGAAAACTGGATTGTGAAATGTATGTTTTTATCAATAATTCCAGATGAGGCTCGCAAGCGTTTCAAAACATATGTTACGCTGCTCTCCACGATAAAAAACGAGAACAATCAGAAGTTTCTAATACTCCGCAAGAAATATGTGAACGAATGTCCCACAGAGGAAGTTGTGGAGCGCGCGGTGGCCGCCGCATCCAGTAATCCGGAGCCCTCGAGTCCTGGAGGGGGATCCCTGAACTTTGACTCTCCCATGAGGCAGCCACCGCCTTATAAGCCCCCGCCCATGGTCACCTCCCCGCCAGGAGCTGTTTCCATTAGCAAGGAGCACCAGGAGAACTACCAGGAATGCGTGGATGAATTCGCAGCGGCCATTAAGCGTATTGAGCCGGCACGTCTGGAGAAGCAACCATCGGTCAAGTCAGAAGATCCGGAACAGGACAAGCAATCCTCCCGATCCAACTCAATCGATGTGACCGAAAACAAGGAGAACATACCCCGGTTCTCCTTCTCCTCGGAGGCCTCCACCGACTCCAGCTCCAACGAAAAGCCGGAGAAGTCCGACGATCCCAAAACCACCGCCGAGGGCGATGCGGCCGAGAATCCCATCAGCGTGAAGGAGGCCACGCGCAAGTTCAACCGGATGGCATCCGAAGAAGAGGCTAAAATCATATCGCCGCCAGCCAAGAAGAAGCCAGAGAAGGTGAGTACTAAAAACCGGTTAAAGGGGCATTAGCCATCATGCGGGTGAGGGCGAGGGTTCGGTTGCGAGTGCGGGTGCCGGTGTCTTTAGGGCCCTTCCCTCCCAGCGGTGCCACAATTTGTTCCATTTCCTGTGTGTCAGTGGGAAGATTCGCTCGAAGACAATTCAAGTATGCGACGTTTTTTGCATGATTTTAGTTGTGATTAATTATCACAATACTAAGAATATTTCCATAAGAAATTTCCACTGATGTAAGGAATATCTGAGAGCGTACCTTCAGTTATAGTTGCCTTCTTTTGTTTAGTATTGTTAAAGTCACCTAGGTACAAGAAACTGTAAAGACCTTTTAACTCAGCCACAGATTGAAGCCTTTATTCTTAAACGTATTTAACAAATTCTGACAGTTCTAGAATTTGATAACAAACATAAGACATATGTATTTAAAATATGTATTTAAAGTAATTTAAAATTGTGGTACTGGATTTCAAGCTCAATAAACTGTGGATTGGAAAAGTAGTACCTTTGCCATCACTGCATATAACTGAATGGCTACTATTCTGCTACAAATCAGGGTCAGATTAGATCTGGGGGCCCTTGAAACCCCGAGCAATTATTGTCAATGCATCAGTGGCTGTCCCAGGCTTTGGGCCACCTCAAGTGGAACTGCTGGCGAAATGCCTGGCTGGTTGGCTCGAACTAAGCTGGTCACCCAACTGTCTGTCAGTTCCCAGAGCCTTGTCACGAATTGCCACCAGCACAGCCCGAATTGAATAAATCCATTAATTTTATTAGTGGACAATATAAATGTAAGTCTCATAAAACTACATGCGCCTGCATCGTTCCGTTCGCTTTTCTGTCCGTTCTTCTGTCCCGGCTTTGTCGCGGCACATTCGAGAGTGCCGGAGAGCTGATGCCCGACATGTGTACGTACATGCGGACACATGTACTCCGATTCCGAATTCGATTCCCGAGTCCGATGTGTTTAGTAACTTTGTTCCATCAACTGCCCATGACGACACTTCTCGCCGGCACTTTGGCCAGGCGTTTGCTCTGCAAGCTGTTTTTCTGTTATGCTTGCTCTTATTTTTATTTGTTGATACCCCAAAAGCCTATTATGTGTACGTACACATGGGGGACAAGCAAAGAATGAGTTACGTGAGAAATTTGCCGGCCAATAAATGCATGCATGCCAGGCTGGCACTCAGAAAAATGTAGAAAGGAAATCACTTTTTTGATGCTACATTGATTTTGTGATGTAAAGAAAACGCTATTAGAGTAATTTAATTAAAATAAATGTTCCCTTAAAACAAATTGATTACTTTTAATACCATAGTTAATCATAATTAATACAAGAAAAAGCTAAAAGAATAGATTAAGGAACATAAAAGGGAAACGTTGGGCTAATTACATTACAAGAAAAATTTAAAAAAATTACTAGATATCCCAATATTTTGTTGTTAAGAAAAAATATCAGCCTTTAAAAAATATCAAATTTTTGATTTGAAATGAAAGGTCAGCTGAAGTATATAGCAAAACAATATAGAAAATCAACACTTCAACGAAATCCACTCAAATGTCTGCACATACTTATATAATTTGTAGCGTGTCCATTTCAAGATTCTAATTTTGAAATATCAATCTCGGGAGCATGTGGCAGTGGAATTTGTCAAGCGTTACGGAAAAATCGTTTCTTAGTTAATGTTACAAGCTATAGTAGTGCAATTGGGCCGAGTTGTCAAACAACTGTCATCCACTTAGGCCTGTCAATCACGCAATTTAGAGTTGAAAACGAATATCCCCAGTGCATAAATCATCCGAATCTGTCTGCGAGACGGATGGTCCCATCCCATCCCTATGTATCATGTTTAGAGGAAGATGCTCCGCAGCAGTGGATGTACGTCAAACTGAGATTGTCAACGGCACGTCAGATGCTATAAAATCCCACTAAAACATCGGGAAGCGAACTTAAGTGCCTATTTGTACAGACGTTCGGACATGGAAAAATCGAACTCGTCCTTATACTGGAATCTGTTTCAAAGCATCACTGCCGCAACTTTGATTTTCTCACGTATTTCATGTTTCCGGATTTACACATCCCATTTTTGAGCAACGAAATTAGAAATACAAAAATTAAGTCCAAATCAAATAAAAGCAATGGGGGATTTTTTACTATCTCCGCAAAATCAGCTTGAAATATGGTTTTTGAGAGGGATGTTCAAATTATGTTACTTCTCTTGTATTAAACATTATTTTTTAAGTGGAATTGCTTCATTAAGCAATTTATATTCTTATATTTGTAATTAAATTCTACAATAAGAGATAGGTTTTTTTTAAGAACATTATTTAATTGCTACATTTCAAACGACGTAGAAACTTGGAATATCTAATTTTAATGAATGAATCCACGTAAATTAGTTTGCATAAGTTAGTCCCCCTTTTTTACAAGTCATTATTAATTTGTCTGCAACACGAATACAGCAAGAATAAAGGCTATTATTCACTCGATCAGTAGAATTGATAGCTGTTATTTAGACCATTGAGGATAAAGAAAGTATCTGTATCGTTGTAAGCGCTTACAGCTTGTTAACAAATTGATTCGCTAACAAGACACACCATCATTTCGGCTGGCGCCAACCGTCTTCACGCAATTATTAAAATTCAGTTGTAAACAATATTGGGATAGGTTTGATGGATGCTCCTTTTTTTTGTTCATCAAAAGAAATAACTAATCATCGCAAAAGCGAAAAGAAAGTGGCGCATCATGTTCATAGGAATTTCGAGGAGGTATTCTAATTCATGGGATTTTTTTCCGACGTGACCAAAAACTGGGGAGCAAGTGGAGTAGATCCATCATGACGGACCGTGAAATTTTTGGCGTCGCAACTGTAACTGTGGGATCTGGAGTCTCGGCTGGCTGATCAATTAAATTCGTTTCGATCGTTTTTAATTAGCCCGATGATTTTGCATTTTGTACGCTCACTCAGCACCGTTGTGCGATGGAAAAGGATTGATTAATTTACGACCCAAACAACAAGCGGACTTAAAATGGGTTTTTTTTTATTTAAATAACTAATATTGATAGAAGTATAATAATTTGAGATTTTACCCAATTTTGATTGATGAAACTTAGAAGGTTAACGGGAAAATAAAAAAATGTTGGGTTCAAGATTAAAGTATATATAATTGAACTATTTCCAGTTAAAACCTTCAAAACAGATTTATGGAGGTGTTTTGTTTACTCAAATTAAAATTCGTGGAATCGCAAAAGTTTATTACGCTGAATTCGACACTAAAATGTTAACAGATTTTATTAAATTAAAAAGTTTAGTGTTTTATTTAAATACATATTGTAAAATGTTATTAGACAATGGCCTTTAAGATTTGTATTCATATTAATTTATAAATTCAGAAAACTAAATAAATCCAATAGTTTTGGGTGCCAGCTTTAAAACCAATTAATTTCCTTTTCCACTTTTAGTTGGCAAACAAAAACTAAAGCAAAGTTTCTTTATGTTCTGTGACTCTAATTTAAACCCCTGGCATCACAAATATCCTTTAAAGCAAATCCCAGCCCAAAAGCGGACTGCAGCATCAAACAGACCGCATATATTCTTATTAAAATAAGAGGCACCTCTCGTGTCCCTGAATGCATATAAAGCTGCCATCCAACCCACATCGAAACTGAGGGCGGGGTCGGGGTATCTGGGATCGTGGGGGGCGTGGCAGGGACGAGACGAGAGCCCGTGGCGAAACCCTTTGCATAAAACAAGTTGGTGAAACATGTTAACATAGCCAATAAGCAGCAATAGAAATTAGTTAGGCAAAGCTATTCTCATCACGGCCATGCCAGCCACAAAGGACCCAATTAAAAATGTAAGGAAACAAACCAAAAGTTGTTATTGCTGTTAAACAACAACGGACTGTGTCCCGAAGCGGTTAAATTTACAACAGCAACAATATCCACCCGTTCGCCGGACGAGCAGTCCACAGTACACACCCCTCGTTTGACAAAAACGGACGGAGTCGAATCCCCGGACCCTGGAAATGGCAAACACGACCATTTTGTGGCATCGGTCCAAAGGTAAGACTCGCCGGGCCAACGTAAACACTGAAGGGACATGCCCCAGACCCCGAACCCCAATCCCATATCCCCCGATCCTAGTATCCCAGGACCCAGAACCCAGAACCCATGGCCAGGGCCACATCCTGGTAAAGGACAACGGCCAGCTGTGTGATATAATATCGGGCATAAAGGGACACGGGACATAAGAAAACTGGCCAACAAACAAGCGATTGGGGAGGATGAGTGGGCTGGGCGATAGACAAGGGCAACCGGTGCTCAACCCCCGAAGTCCCTGTCCAGATTCCCACTTGGAGTTCGAGTCAGAGTTCCAGTCCGAGTTGCTCTGGGTTTTGCCTTTTTATTTTTGTCTCCTCCCTTTTGGTTGTGCCAAAGCCATAAAAAAGCAACATACCATCGAAATGGGGGGATCCTTGAGGGTGGGTGGCTACAGTTGGAAAAATGTACATCATTAGTTCCTAAAGGTAGCCATTTAACCTTTGGAAATGTAGGCATTTAAATCCTCTTAAAGACTTCGCTCCTAAAAAAATATATTTAGTTCTTATCCTGAAGACTGAATACGTATCTAAGTTTTTGACTATTATTTTAAATAGTTAGTCAGTTTAAATAGTTTTTAAAGAACCAAATTTCATTTAATTCCTGAGTTATAATCTTTTTGCTTACCGTGTTTAACTGATTTCGCTGATATTAATTATTGCTAAATAAATCGGTTCGATCTCTTAAAGTACTGAGATGATACTTGGCTCTTGCCAAAGGACCTTACAATATTATCTTTACCTAAATATAAAAATGTTGTATTACTTCCATATTTTCTTGGTAATTTCCAATTAGTTTTTTGTTCAATAGTTACGCATTCCAGTTAAGGATAAATTAGTAATACTTTCTTGAAGTGTGGTGGGCGGTTCACTTCGGTTCGGTTGGGTTTCTGTTGCATGGGGTTCTGCTTCGGGTTGGGGTCTTTTGTTTAGCATTGACATGGCCACTTTGCCAGGGGCCCTGCGTCTCAATGTTTTTACTGTTTTGTGATGTTCTGCTGCTGTTTCTGTTCCTGTTACGCCTGTCGCCTCACTCGCTCGAATGCCCAAATACCCGAAACCGAATCTGAATCCGCAGCCGAGTTCCCCGATTCGACTTCTAGAATGCCATAATGCTCGTAGCCCAAAATGCTCGGCATTTGCAAATGGCGACTGCCCTTACCTGGGAAATGGGACCGAATGTGAGCGTTCGCCACCCGCCTGTAATTGGAAAAACGTGAGCTCTCCAGGAGTCAAGTGGCGTGTAAATAGAAGAGAGGATGAGGTCCTGGCACGCGTTCTGCGCATCCTGCGGCTCAATGCGGCATTCAAATGTCGTCGTATTTATTAGCTATGTAACATTAGGTTTGGATAATAAAAGGCCTAGAGTGGGTGATGTTGTTCAGGTGAAGTTATGGCCGGGGATTCTGAGGATTCCGCAGCTTGTTTGGCCCGCGAACATTACGCGAATGGATAATTAGTTGCCGAAAATGTGTTGCTCGCTCGTAAATATGAGGCACACATGTCGGCTGCTGTTCCCATTGTCGCGGGGCACATGTGTTTGGGAAACTCCTGCCCCGCGGAAACCCCATCCCCTCAATCATTAGAGGGCTCATTATCAGCAGCCGAGTTTTGCGGGTGTGTGTATGTGTCCCCGCCTCATAGCCTAAAAAACTCTGTAAATCAACGAACCAAAAAAAAAAAAAACAACGGAAAGCTACGCACAGCAGCTACTTTCTTTTAGCGGGAGATCCTCGAGAGCAAAAGAAAAACCCATCGTACTTTCTGCCTTAAGCACGCGCCTAATAAATAAAAATTATTACCTTCATAATTAGTGGAGGAACATGGCGATGGCGCCGTCGAATGCGTGGCATAATTACCATCCAGCTTTTACGCCCGTGTCTGCACCCTCGCAACAACACACACATATCCCAATTCCATCCCCATCCCCATTTCAGTGGCATCCCATCTTAACACTCGGAAAAACACTGAATTGATTTTGAACCACTTAAAAATTATTTATAATATTTAAAATTGTTAGGTTAACCATTCCTATAAAGTACTTTTTAATACGAAACTGCAGTTCTATTCAAATTAAATTCCAAAACCCTAATTATATAATTGAAATTTTGGTCTTTCCTTTTAATGGAGTTTTTAGAATTTTAAAGTAGATTTTCTGAAATATATAAAATTTTAAAGTAGGTTTTCTGGTATATAGAAGAAAGGGAAACCTTAGGGAAAGTTTATATTGTTTATAGAACATGATGCTTAGAATAAGAATTGGTTTTCCGCAAAATCGAATCACAAAAGAAATGTTAGTAATTAATTTATTCCTTCTAAACCGAACACATTTGTATAAATACAATCTAAACTTATCGTTTTTATTTACTTAACTTTTTTATTTATACCTATTATTAATGTTAGTGCTTATATTTATGCTTTATCTCTATTGTCCCAATTAAGGTCCTATTCGTGCTGAATATAATTACGAAATACTAGATATTTTTGAAAGTGCACCCCAACCCCGCCCCTTCCATAACCATATCCATATGCACATCCATCGGATGCCACACACAGGGATTGTGGGGCAATGTTACCCGTGTGCGAGTGGGTAAATTAGAATCGTATATTCCGGGAGGCGACGACTGTGTTGGCGTTAATGCTCTCAATGGGCTTTCTATGTTTTATTCCCGCTTCGTGCCGATGTTTTTCGTTTTGGTTTTTGTATTTTTTTTTTTTTTTTCTATTTTGTCTTTTTGTTTTGTTACCACTACGGACCGCCCCCGCCAAGTCGTAGACAAAGTGGCAGAAACATGCATAATTAATTTATGCCCCTCCGGGCGCTCCTCTTATGCTTTCAGCAATTAATCGAGGAGAAGGATTCCCCCGAGGTTACGCTGGCGCATCCCAAGGCGAAGGAGTGGATCGTCTCGATGGCTAAGGCTAATTACCAGGAGCTGGCCAAGATGGCCAGCGAGTACCCGGAACTGGTTAAGCTGCAGGTAAGCCACTCTTTGATTTTACCAGCCACTTTCCACCCACGCTCCTCTAACAAATGCGACAAGTACAAACTATTCATAAGCATTAATTACGACAAATTAAGCAGCAACGCGTTGTTTTTGCCATGTCGAACAACACTTAAAAATGCGAGGAAAATATAATAACGACAACTGAGGGACTGGCCAAACGGGACGGGAGGCGTGGGGCGTGGCACGGGGGGCGTTTGTCGCATAGCGAGCGGAAAAGCAACAACGCCGCCAGCCGAGGCGACAATTAATTGTGAAATATGTTTTCAGCATTTTTAGCACTTGTAGCGCATGTTAAGAAGTGGGCGTGAGCGCGACTCCGGACGACATAGGCCGGACGACGAGTCGGGCATAGATATAGACGTAGATATATGGACAGCCATTGGGCAACCACTGACGAGTGATCTTGTAGAGAATCGGGATGAGGAGTGGGATGGGGATGTCTCGAAGCGACAGACACAATACATGCAATTTCCATTTTTTCGCACTGCTGTTTTCCACAAACATTTGCTGCTGCATAATTGTGAACTCCGGAATAATTGCATAATTTCTGAATCGAAAGACTTTAAGCAGGATAGGGATTACATTAATGGTTCACTCTATGTCTTTCCACAATAGTTTGATGTAAGGTTATGCTGACCTTAATAATTAAAAACTTAGATTTTCACTAACTATTTTCTTCGACTATTTTCTATTGAATTTTGTGTTACCTTTTATAAGCTTTTCTTTTTTGCAATGTGTATGTTGATGTACTATTTTGTTGTATAATTGTATTGGAAATCTTTTAGATGAAGCTATAAATTGTGTTACTTCTTTATTTTGCTATTTTAGTTTATAAAGTCAACCACAACACACCCCCAATGAGTTAATATAGTCATTCTTCTCTCATTCAGCTGATTTGATTTATATGATTATTTAAAGCTTCACCCCAAAAGAGGTGTTCTAAAAATTATTACCTGGTCTTTTTTAGGAATTGTTAATTGTTGGTAATCAAAAATGTTTTGACACGATGTCTGAATGCATTTCCCGTGACTTATTGCGATGGAGAAATTTTGTATTAAAGGATCATAAATAATAAAAAACAAGAGCTAAATTTCTTAGGACTAGAATATTTATAGAAATTATTTAGGGTATATTGAGCTTAAACAAACAATTATATGCATAGAGGCTATAATTTCCATTAAGTTATGTATATGCCTCCATTGTCATCAGAATAATTTAATAATTAAAATTAAATTATGGATTTTAATGAGCATTATCGTATTTAAATAATATTACCCATTCTTCTAGTCAATGATTTTAATTTCTCCGACTTCAGGACCGGGTATTTCCTAGTCCATCACCCAGTTTTTTACATTTATTTATGACATGCGTGTGACCCCACTCAAATTGGGGAAAGAGCGAGTCCCAATTCTCGAGGGGTCGCCGCAAATGAGACATGGAAAAATGGCTCCGCTCGCGACATCTCGAGATTGGGATTGGGATTCGTGCGGGCTCAGTGTGAGAACTCAATACGATCCGCCAGATTTGCTGGCTGTTGCTGTTGCTTTTGCTGTGGCTGTTAGTGCCTCTCAATTAGACAGCGTTTTCGGAGTCGGAGTTTTGTACGGCCCCGGGTATTTATGTCCCATATAGCCAACCCTGATACTGGGGCGTCGGCCCGTTCCAAGATGATTTATGCCGTCCGCAGAGGAACATGGGCCCCAGGGCCCGGGTCTGTGGCGAAGGCGTGGTATATTATGTTCGCGAGCGGACTAATTGCCGTACAAATGCACTGTTCCCGGAAATAATGAATTCCGCACTCTGCATACGCGTACATGTACGAATGCGCTTGCAAATCTTGAGGGCCATAAGTGCAATCAATTAATGAGCTGAGCACCAGCAGCAGCACCATCACCCCGGAGGCCGTTGGATGAGCAACTGCCAACTGGCAGCTCATTTGCGGCGCTTCCAATTCCTTGAATCACTGAAATCGCAACAAGACGGAAATAGCCATAAATCAGACCGCGATTGCCACTTAACCTAATGCCTCAAGTTCCTTCGGGGGCCTCCAAATAAAATATCTGCCTTTTGCTCATTTGCAGAATGTGAATGGCCGAAAAAACTGAAATATCTTACAAGCATTTAAATGTTCACTCGCAGTTTATCATTGGACTATTAGGTGCAATTATTTTCTAATGGTGCATTAAATTAACTAATGTTGCAATTACAGCTGCGAATATTTATGGTTTGTTAGTCGGATTTTAAAAAAGATATATTATATCGGTATTTTAAATACTCTTTAACATGAGTTTTAATACTCCGATCTATTTATCAAGCACTTGTGAAAATAAAAATCTACTCTTCAAAAATAGCAAAAGAAATACTTATAGATAAGTGTAAATATCAGAAAAATAAATTCAGGTTAATTAAGAAAATAATATAATATCGTAATTTAAAACCGAATACTACATTCCAATTCTGTTTCCCAAAACTATATTTTAAACCAACTTAAATATATTCGAAGTGAAATCTGTCCGGTGCCCCAAAAGTTATGCAGATAGATTCAGTTACACTTGTATGCTAACAGGATTATGTACAATGTCCGGACTCACATGCCGACCATTTACATATGTACGCGTATGTAAATAAACGGGCGAGAATTGTGGAGAAACTCCAAATAAATATTCCCCAGTCATCGGCGGCGGTAGGGTGAAAAAAAAATATTTTTAATTTGAATAAGTAATTCGTACAACGGGCCAAAATCAAAAAAGAAACAAGTCGAAACAAATGCGAAACAAGGAAAATTCAATTTACCCGCATGTCAAACCGAATTGCCGGCTAGGTCAAACACGTTGATGGATGGATGGACGGAGTGGATGCACGGTTGGCCAGGGAACCGGAAGGGGGTTGAGGAGGAGGAGCAGGAGGCGGTAAACCCACCAGTAACACCCAGAGCACACCGGCAACAACACGGCACCAGCAACTTCGACAAGCTTAAATTGCAAAACGGTGCATGCTTGTCTATTTGGGGCGGTCCCATCGCCCGACAAAAATCGGACGGACTGGAAACAATAGACAAACCCGCGCTCAAAATGGGGAAAGTCCAACCCACACACACACACACAGGAACACCTGAAATTGCAAAGGAGCTGCTGCGGCTGGGGAAAAAAAAACATTTATATATATATATAACTCGGTAAAAGTGCACACGAGCCGAAGTTTTTAATTAATACAAAACTTGTAACATTTTATAAGCCGCTACTACATATTAGCTGGGCGACTGGCGTTTTGAATATGCACATACTGATACATCCAGCCATGTGGCTTTTATGCCCGGACAAGGGCATTCCATCAGCCCATGCCATCCCAGATCCGAAAACATTAGGCACTCTGGATTGGCCGTGGATGTGGATGTGGATGTGGCCTTGTGGATGGCATGCCCAGGTGGACTATTTAACCGAATTCAAATGTGCATGTCCGTTTACACAGAGTCATGTCCATGACTGTGCATCTAACCCGTGGTGCGGCAATGGTGACGTAGCCTATGCCGATGCCGATGCCTATAACGATGCCAATGCCGGTGCCATGTTGCCAGTGCTTGATTGCTGATGTCGTATGCCAGAAATTTAATTAAACTTGGGATACAAACAACCTCAAGCGACTGGACAAGCCCATATTTGAGTATGAGTACATTTCAGGCAATCGTCGGCCACGGCTCTCTGTGTTCCGCAATAATGTGTTTGGCTATTAAAATACATACACGAATTTTGAGTACCTACTAAAATGAGAAATATATAACCAGAATGACCACTCTAAATCAAACTACTTTTTCTTATATTTCACTAAAAAAAAAAAGCTCTATAGGCAGTATCCACTTTCAGTTATTTATACTCCTAGATTAACATTTTTTTTTAGTTTTGTATTTAATGCATTAAACAATAAAATAGTTTTGTGTTAATTGGTTTTAACGGAATGCAGCTACGTTGTACATATATAAATATCAAAAGGTTCTAGGTTTCTAAAAACTGTATTGATGTTGCTTACATTACATTTTATGTTTCCAGATGATTTGTACTGCATTTATTTTTAATAGACAACTGATTTTTTTATTCTTCATTTTAATGGAATCTTTTAATTGAATTATACCAGTGCAAATCGCATGAAGTGCCATTTAATGCCCAAGATCTAAGGACAATCTTCAAAGTCCGTCTGGGAACTCTCCTCGTCTGGTGACCATGAACTTTTCAACAGGTCGTCCACAAAGGCAATAAAACGTCTGACACCTTTGACAGTCCCTGCGGCACACTCAAAACTGCACTCTATTATTGGAGTGTCTATGTATGTCAGCGGCGTTGGTGGCGCCTTGGCCGAGTGGCATATGATTCCCCTTGGATGGAAAACATCAAACCAAACGGCGGCTTGTGTGAGTGATACTTTCCATGGGTGTCATTAAATTGAGGTGACAATTCAATCAACAATACGAACGGCAAACACCGGCGAAAACGGCTATGCGGCTGTCAAATGAGTGAAGCCTTTCCAGAAATCAAATCAAATGTGTTTACGACGTCTGCCACGTTGGTGGCTCAATTTTATGTCGCTGCGCAGCTATTAAATTTAATTAGAGCTCTGTGTCGTCGCTGCCGCCAGTGGACGTGAACGCATAAATGTCATCAAAATATTTCCCTGAACGGCGGCTTTATATTTAGTTATTCTGCAGTTTAGAGTTCACCCAGTCCCGTCGGCGAATGGTGGAAATATTGTCAGTTGACATGCGAAAGGATTTCCCTTCTGGGAAAGGCGCAAAGGCAGTCGTGTCATCCGGCCATCACTCGGAGGTGATACACTCGGGCATTAAAACCCATTTAATTGTCGTTGTCGTAAATAGTCTTTGAAGTCGCTCTCTGATTTGGGTCATGAGCTTTCACTGCTAGTTGGCGGGGATTAGTTCCTTTTTTGGTTTTAGATTAGATTGCAGGGATTGCTAACATCGCTTT